GGTAGACAGCCTGCCTCGCGAAGCAGCAAGTCCCAGATCAGGACCCCTGACCGCATCTCTAGGGAGGGCCAGCAAAAACCCCGGAGAGCCGCTGCCAGCCAGTGCCGCCAACACTGAGCTGGGTGGCCTCGGCATGGGGCAATTCCTGGGCTCCGCGAGTGCCAAGCCTAATGGGAGGCTCCTCACGAGCAACGGGCTCGTCCCGATCCCACCCAGAACAGCCACGAGCACCCGGAGGAGACACATCCTTACCGAGGTCGTGCGGCGGTGTTTTTGCTCTGAAAAGCCGAAGCGGCCATGGGAAGCTTCAGGCCAGAGCAGGGAGAAGGCAGCCCGTTATTCGCACGCCCCGTTTGCCGAAGGGCGATTCTCTCCCTCAGAAACCCGCTTCCGGCGCCTCGGCCCGCTTCACGGCTGTCGCCACAGCAGGCCACATTAATTAATTAATTAAGAATAAATAATAATAAAAATTATTTGTACCCCGCCCAATCTGACTGGGTTGACCCAGCCACTCTGGGAGGCCCCCAACATATAGAAAAACGCAATTAAACGCCATAAAGCTTCCCGGGAAAGGGTGCCCGACCACATCCCTCGAAGGCTGGAAGAGGCTTAGGAACAGCGGCCCTCAAGGGCGAAGAAGAAGCCCCTCAGGAGGAGGACGAGCCCAGCCCGCCTCGGCGAGGCCCCCTTTCAGGAAGAGGAGCCACAATGACAACCACCCTAACGACGAAAGAGCCGTCAAATGGGCCGCAAGAAGAAGGCGGCGGCGACCACCGCCCGGCCGGACTCACCTAGTGGCGCCGTCGCTGAGGCGGCTGCCGTTGCCGGTCCTTCCAGCTGCGCCCCCTCCGGCACCGACTGGCAAGATGGCGGCCGCTCCCCCCTCCCCTATCACTGCAGAGCCGCCGCCACTGCGCACGCGCGGGTCGCGCCCGGGCCCCAGGACGCATGCGCCGCCGCCCTCCTTAGAGAGGGCGAGTTCGGGATGGTGGTTAAGGACGAGCGGGTGCCGGGGAGGAGGGGCGGGGCCGCTTGCTGCTGCTGCTGCTGAACCCAGAATGCAACGCGCAAGCTCGCGGATTCCATTCGAGGCGGAGGTGGCGTGCAGGGCACGATGGGAAGTGTAGTTTATATCCATCCGTTCGATTACAGAAACGGCTTACGGGATGATGAGGCTGCTGCCGTTGCATAGTGGGCGGGGGGGGCGGGGTACTTTGTTTTCTATTATTTTTATTTAGTGGGAAAAGTGGACGAGGCTGCTGCACTTTTAATAGGGTTGAGTTGGGGGTTGCCTTTTTTTCTTTCTGCAGAGGGATTTTCAGCAGGTGGAGGTTGCAGTGGTGCAGGCAGGGACATCTCCCCCCCGCCCCACCCAACTCTGACATTTCGTAAAATTTCTTCTTCTTTGGCGATCGCTTGTAGCCGAGTAAGATTGCCTTCCATAAACACAGTTTTAATAATGAGTCCATAAGTGACTGTGGAGGCCTATTCTGGATCCACACGTCCTTCCACAGGGGGGAAATTGGTTTCCGGGCAGGAGCTGATCACGGAGTGGTCCTTCCTCTTGGCACGTTTCTCCCTTGCGTCCTGATTTCGAGTGTTTTCAAAGCCCATGACACCTTTGGTCAAGGCTGTTCTCCAACTGGAGCGCTCGCAGGCCAGTGTTTCTCAGTTGTCAGTGTTTATACTACATTTTTTAAGATTTGCCTTGAGACAGTCTTTCAACCTCTTTTGTTGACCACCAGCATTACGCTTTCCATTTTTAAGTTCGGAATAGAGTAGTTGCTTTGGAAGACGATCATCAGGCATCCGCACAATTTATTCACCACTTGACTGCCAATAAAAACCAACCCTCAAAGCCGTTTACAAAACAGTAAAAGAAAAATTTGCAACCCTACTTTGAACCATACAAAACATTTAACAGGGGAGAGGCTGGCTGAGCCTTTTCATGGATGCTCCTTCCAGTAATTTTTATAACTTTAAAAAATGTATTATATATTTCTAAAAACAAAACTGCTCATTTGAAAGTACCTGTGCATCAAGCTGGCAGAAGCAAAACTCGCATTTTATTTTCCTGTATTGATGGTGCTTGTGATTTGTGTTCTTCAGAGTATTGTTTTTTTAAAAAAAGGAATGACAAATTGGTTTTGCCCTATTAGGGATGCAGCAGTAATTGGCCGCAGGTGGGAGAAGGAAAGTGTTAATTGTGTGATTCAGTAGTAAAGTAATACACATGGATGCTTAAAGGGAAGGGGGGGGAACGTCCCAGGCTCTAGTCTTAGATTACCTATCTGCACTACTAGTAGCTTATATGACAAGCTATACTTGCTGAAATTCCCTCTTCTTTACACCTGTTATAAAGGTAAAGGGACCCCTGACCATTAGGTCCAGTCGTGACCGACTCTGGGGTTGCGGTGCTCATCTCGCTTTATTGGCGAGGGCGTTCCAGGTCATGTGGCCAGCATGACTAAGCCGCTTCTGGTGAACCAGAGCAGCGCATGGAAACACCCTTTACCTTCCCACCAGAGCGGTACCTATTTATCTACTTGCATTTTGAAGTGCTTCGAACTGCTAGGTTGGCAGGAGCAGGGACCGAGCAATGGGAGCTCACCCCGTCGCGGGGATTAGAACCGCCGCCCTTCTGATCGGCAAGTCCTAGGCTCTGGTTTAACCCACAGCGCCCCCCCCACGGCCCGTTACACCTGTTAGAGATGTATAAATTCCATCTTCTATATGCCCATTAAATAACCTGTTCTCTTTTAGACCTGGCCACTGTAATTCATTAAGATGTATACCCCACAGACAGCTAACAAACATAATCTAGAGGGCATTTATAACATGTATATTTTATATCCATGCCATACTGTCATGTCTGACTGTAAATAGCACCAAGCAACTCAAGTAAACTTAAACAAAGGGAATTAGAGGCAGCCAAAGAACACTGGTCATTTTTGGGTTTCCCCCCACAAAACAAAGGCTTGTCCTGTCTGTTTTATTTTTAAAAATAGACACCTACACTTCAAAAAGACTTGTACATTAAAAAAAAATCTGACAGAGGGGTAGCAGTATTATGAAGTTTCTGCCCCCCAAATAGTGTTTAAGGAGCCACAAGACTTATTTTTGCCAACAGAGCAATGGCATAGCAGCTGAACAGAAAGGCTGAAGAAGAAAAATCTCTCTTCAAGAAAAACGATCCACTGCCTGCATTCTGAAGTGGTCCATATAGTACCAGAAGCATGTACTACATGTTTTTCTCAACATTTGTTTGTGTGTAATTGGCGGGTGGTATTATTCCAAGTACATTAGCAGCCCTTTAGATATCTGAAGATGGAGGTGCCGGTACTGAGTGTGCTTGAGTTCCCACAGAAAAAACCAACACTGGCTAGATCTTCTTTCAGTCTCCTCTTTCCCAGGCTAAATATCCCCAGCTCCTTCAACCATTCCTCATAAGGCTTGGTTTTCAGACCGTTGATCATCTTGTTTACCTTTGTCTGCCCATGTTCCAGCTTGTCAACAGCCTTCTTAAATGGTAGCACCCTGAACTGGACACAGTATTCCAGGTGTGGTCTGAGCAAGGCAGAATAGGTTGGTGCTTTTATTCCCATTGACTTGAAGTGCACCAGTGCCTTGTTATCTTGATGTCCTATTTGCATAGATAATTGCCTGAAAATTCTCAATTTCCCAAGCTCACTGTACTGTCAAAATACATTGTGAGGTTACAAATGCAACTCATCTGCTGCTTGCTGGTACAGCCTGCTGCATCTTTCCCTTCCTTCCAGTTCTGCTGAGGGATGGAAAATTGTAGACATCACTGACAACCACTGGGATGGGGAGCTGACACAGGTGTTGGTGAACAGCAGAAAGTGGCTTGTGTGCTGCTGCCGTTTTGTGCAGGTTGTTGCTCCACCTCCTCCACATTTACCTGCCTTTTCAGAAGAGCCACTCCCCATTTTACCATTGCTTCTTTTCTCCACAACCTTTTCCTTCTATTTTACACATCCATTTCTTCCATTCTTTTCTTGTCCACTTGGTATTTTATTCTCTATTCCCCGTTTTTAACATCTCAGCTCTCTTCTTTTGCATTCTCCCCTCTGCCATGGCCCTCTTTCCCCTGCTTCCTATCTGTCCCATTGCTCCTTTTTGTACAATGGTCTTCCCTGGAAACCAGGCTTACATTTGAGCCACAGCTTCCCAAGACACTGCTCCAAAACCTCATCCAGTGCTTGGGCTCTACTCCAGAAGCAGGAGGGAGCCAAAAGGGGCATTTCCATAAGCATTAAAGTATGTGGGTGTGTAGACATTATAGCGAAATGAAAGCTGAAAATGTGAATGGGGCCAGAGCACCTCACTCAGCCCAGATGCTGAGATCCAGTGCCAAGGGTCTTCTGGTGGTTCCCTCATTGCAAGAGGGGAGGTTAGAGGGAACCCAGCAGAGGGGCTTTTCGGCAGTATGCCCACCCTGTGGAATGCCCTCCCAGCAGATGCCAAACTGATAAAACATCTGTCTTTCAAAAGACATCTGAAGGCAGCTCTGTTGAGGAAAGTTTTTAGTGTGTGTTGTAGTATTTTGTTTTTTACTATTTTTTGTCAGGAGCCGCCCAAAGTGGCTGGTGCAACCTAGTCACATGGGCAGCACATACATAATAATAATTAATAATAAAAAATAGTGTCGTACCTTGGAAGTCGAACAGAATCCGTTCTGGAAGTCTGTTTGACTTCCAAAATGTTCGTAAACCAAAGTGTGGCTTCTGATTGGCTGCAGGAAGCTCTTGCAGCCAATTGGAAGCCGCAGAAGCCCCGTCAGACATTCGGGTTCTGAAGAACGTTCACAAACCGGAACACTCACTTTCAAGTTTGCTGCGTTTGGGAGCCAAAATGTCTGAGTACCAAGGCGTTCAGGATCTAAGGTACGACTGTATATGATTATGATGGTGTCATGTGTACAAGGGGCAGGCTAAATCTTCTGGACACTGACAAAAATGAGCCACACACAGGCAAGGTGGAGTCCAATAAAACTATTTTATAAATAAAAACAAGTAGGGTGGTTTCAATTTATATAAAACCGAGGGGTGTGTGAGGGAAGGGGCAATATGTGTGACAAGAGAAAATAGCACCAAAGTGGGGGGAAAGGAGTTGAAAAGAGAGCAAGATGGCGACGTAGTACCAGGTGAGGAAGGGACTAGAGAAGGAGGAGGAGGAAGAGGGAAGACAGAATGGCAATATAGCACCAGGAGGAGGAGCGAGGGAGGACTGGCAACTTGACACTTGAGATCACGGGCAATGCCCTGAAAGAGAGACTAATGGTAGGCAGAAAGGGGGCAAATGGTTCAATAGACCAAATGAGCAGAGCAGTGGCAAAGGTGTAGAAGAACTGGCATCACGATGGGGGGCGTAGGGAACTAGCAAAAAAGGGGGAACCGATGCTGGACTGGAGAGGAAAGCAGGAGTGAAGGAACACTTCAATCTTAAAAACAACAAACCCCACAAGACATTCCAAAAACGGCTGATATTTGGTGCAGAAGACAACTGTTGCATGGCAGGAAGGCCAAAGGTGGTTATGGGCCGCAAGAGGACTAGAATGTACCGTCTAATAGAGGGTGCTTCTCCCAACCAGGTCCTTGGCAAGAGCACAAAAGCAGTTTAGCTAAAGGTGGGCTGTGATAAATCGTACAGATTTTTGCATCAGCGTGGGATGCTCAAGGGCTCTGGAATTTTCCACTGAACAATTTCCTGCCATAGCAAGCAGAGTTAAGTGTTGCTTCACGTGTGATGAGTTTCCTACAAGAACTTCTGTACGGGAAACTGCGTGAAAATTGTGTAAAGTCACGCATGACTGTATCTGTCTGTGTGCTTTGCAGTTTAGTATAACTCCTCTATTGCAAGCCTTCCCTACCTGCAGATGTAAGAAATTCTGAGCATGGGTGGCTAAGAAGGATGGGCTAGGATTCACTGAGAAATGCAGGGAGTGGAGAGGACAAGTATAGAAAAGGCAGGGGGTTTAAACAGAATCCACAAGGAAGGACACAGTGCTATACTGGGTGAAGATGTCTCTGGACTTCCTAAATCCCTTCTTCAACCATTTGTATTTTCTATGATTTAGCAAACATGGCCACTGTGCTCCCTCTGCAAGTGTGAGGGCTAGGAATGTTTTGGAAACTGACATTCTGCCATGTGCGATTCTGGAGTGTCTATGTTGCAGCACAGCAGCAAGCAATGCAGGTAAGCCAGAGGCCCTGCTTATATCCCAGACACACAAGAAATGCACAGTGTGCCCACAGAGCAGTCTGGGCTTGGTTGTGGGACTCTTTCCCCCTGCCTTCAAGCCCAAACCTTGCTGCACTTGTGTCCGAGAAGAAAAGGGAAGAAACCAGAAAGGCCCAACAGCTGCTAAGGAAAGGACAGCAAGGGAGACAAGAGTGAGTCCTTATTTTCTACACATGCCCTGCTCACTTGCTTTTCACTGGTGTGCTGGTGCTCATTTAGAGGGTGGGGACAGCAGAAGCAAGCACTCAGCTTGGAGAGTACATTTTGAAAGCCCCCTCTTCCATGCACAACAGTGAAAAGTTAGGCCTCGTTTCCAAGCGTGGCTCAGCATCAGTTTGGGATGGGTAGTGGCATAACAGTTGGCATAAAATGTGCTGGTCTAAGTTAAGGGTGAGGTTTCAGCTAACCTTGGGCACATTCAGAATAAACGTGGTCATAGTTCATTGGTAAACTTTCTATTTGTCCCCCAGCTATCAAAGGGAAGAGTCCATGATTACAGATCACCACAGCAGTCTTTAAAAAGTAGGAGAGGAAAAAGCTAAGGACAGACAGCCACTCCCCACTGATCCTTAGCCTGGGTGATGGAGCTGCAGCAAAACAATTTGGCACTTGGGTAAATTAAGCACACCTCTAGAAGCAGCTATGGTTGAGAATAGTTATGGTTAAAAATACAGTTAAAATATTTATTGGACTTCTGCATCCAAGAGGGAGGAGGCTCAGCAATCTGATATTTGCTGGAGTACATAAAATACTTTTTTGGGAGGGAGACCCTAAAAAGAACCCAATAAAAATCTCAGTGTATTCTCAATGGCCAAGGAAAGATGAATGAATGTTTGGGGGAGGAGGGAAACAGACTTCAGCGTCATGGCGGAGGACAATGCTGAGTGACAGGAACAGTGAACAGGAGCACCGCCTAAGTTTATTCTTTATTTTGCTGCTGGCAATCATGGTGCAGGGGTCCACTTGGGGCAACTCATCTGGCCCCTGGGACATAAGCCTAGTGCAGCAACTCTTCTGATTTTGGAGATCCATCCATGTTCACAACCATGACGACCCCAAAAGTTGCTTTGTTAAAATCCTCACAGAATTGTAGAGTTGGAAGCTCATCCAGTCCAACCCCCTGCAATGCAGGAATCGCAACTAGATCATACATGACAGGTGGCCTTCCAACCTCTGCTTAAAAACCTGTATCCCACAGAACTTATTTCATACTATTTGTGCTAATGAAATTATCTTTTTGATATTTGTCTACCTCCCCACCCCCCATCTCTTCCTCTCCCCCCCCCCCCATCACTTTTTCAGTTTTGGGATTGTTAAAAAGAAAAGGAAGGATGGAAGAGAGGTAGGAGACAAAGAAGAGGGGGAGGTGGGCAGAGGAAATACCAAGGGATACTGCTGCCAGGGTTATGTAGTGTGGATGCAAGGCATTTAAACGAAACAGTGGAGGAGGCTGAGGAGAGAGAGCATCTAAAAACAGCTCGGCTTAAGAGACAACGGACTGATGGGCACAAGAGAGACCTGGGTGTGAAAAGGTGGCAGTAAAAAAGGCTCTACTAAAGAGGCCACCAGACGTCGAAGAGATACAGCAAGAAGATGGCTCACCATGAGTGCTTGGGTAGAGAAAGAAAGCATATTAGAAAGGGGGGCACTTGTACCTGTAGTACCTTCAGGAACGTGAACTATGGATACTGAGGGTTGGCACTCTTGCTATTGGTGCTAATCAAGACATGGGAGGCAAAGAATCAAGGAAGGGTGTGAGCCTCTTTGGCGGCTTCCGGCTCTTATCACCATCTGAGAAGCTCTCAAGGGGAACTCTCACCTGCCTGGCAAGGTGGGAGCTCTCCTCTCAACCTCATGCCAATGGCCACCAAGCTGCTACATCTTATCAGATGGAAGACTGAAGGCACAGCTGGATCTGAGCCCTGCTCCCTTCCCGGGGTTATGGATAAGGTGGGGCACCTTCCACCAGGATGGAAAGAAGCCATCTTCAGCCCCCACATGGCCAAGTGCCTGCCTGCAGGGCTCTGCATCTTCCTCGGTTGCGGGGGAGCCCAACCACCACAGCACGCTGCGGCTCTCCCCAGCACGGGCGGCCAGCTCAGAGGAAGTCAAACACCCCGTAATTCTTGGCTGCTCGACAGAGAGGGACACAAAAAGGGGCGAGAAGAAAGAGGGCATGTGTTTAGGGCAGGAGAAGTGAGCCGGCAGGGAAAACACAGGCGAGCAGCAGAGTCCCCAGGCAGATGCGGATTAATGGGTTAGAGAAGGGGTTATGGGGGGAGGGGTTGGCACAAGCAGGGGGGGGGGACGCGCCTCTGCAATCAAGTCCAGGGGTGGTTCAGGCGAGGCTGCCGGGCCCCCTTGCAGGCAGGGATTAGAATCAAAAACATTTAGTTCAGTTTATTTTGTGGGGGTTTTTTTCCCTTTTCATAATTGCCAAGACCAAAAAAAGAAAAGAAAAGGAATCCCCCGCAGGCCGGGCTGTTCCTAGGAGACAAAACCGACGGGGGCGGCAGGCAGGCGGAGGGAGGGGCGGCGTTTCACATTACATCCACAAAGAACTCACTGGGGTTGCCCATGGCCATTCGGAATGACTGTCTACTGGCCGTCAGTTCAGGGGGCACAGAGGCCAGGTCTCGGCCAGGGGGAGCCCCCGGGGGTCCCAGGGCGGAAGGCGGCGGAGGCATCAGCAGCATGGGAGGGCTGTAGAGGGGCGGCAGGCCGGGAGGCCCGTAGGACTGCTGGCTGTGGTGGCTGCGGATGCTATGAGCCATCGAGTGGTGGCTGCGCTGGCTGGCCGGCACCGAGCGCTCGCTGGCCGCCCGCTCCCTCCGCATGCTGCTGCGGCTGGTGTGGTCCGACTCGCTGCCGCTGCCGCCCGACTTGGACTCCCCGGCCTTGGGCTCTCGCTCCTTCCTCCTCTCGCTGCCGCTGCGGTTGGAGCCGCTGCTCCGGCTTCCTGCACAAGAAATGGGGGGGGGGGGAGAGGACAAGAGAATATTTGGGTCAGGCCCATGGGTAGGAATAACCTCACAGGAGCCTCTGCCTGTCACTTTGCTGGATTGGGCCCAAAGTCCATGGAAGTGCAGCACAAAAGTGGGAAGCCGGTCAAATGGTGGGGAGCAGGAAGCAAAGCGGCAGGGATGTTATACTAATTTTGTTGTTGTTGTTGTTGTTATATGATCTCCAGTAGAAGGAAAATGGCAACCATATAACAAAAGGCTCTGGGCATCTTCCAGTAAATTAAAACACATTAGGACATCAAACATTACAAAACTTCCCTGTACACAGCTGCCTTCAGAAATAAAGAAAGGCCATCAGGCAACATTAAAACACGGCCAGGGCAAAAGCCAAACAGATCTCCCGGGATTAAATAATATTATTATTATTATTAATAATAATAATAATAATAATATTTATACTCTGCCGATCTCTCTGGGTTTCCACAGCCACCCTAAACAGGGCTTCCTTCAGATGTCTTCTAAAAGTCAGATAGTTGTTTATTTCCTTGACATCTGATGGAAAAGCGTTCCACAGGGCGGGCGCCACTACCGAGAAGGGCCTTTGGGTATCATTTGGGTGCTGCTACAGAGAAGGCTCTGAATACTTTCAGCAGATCTCTCTGCTCTAAATGAAATCCCCCCCCAAAGGTCTAAGCCAGTGGTTCCCAACCTTTTTTTGGCCATGCCCCACCTAAGCATCTCTAAAATCCTGATGTCACACCCACACCCACCCTGCCGTGACATATAATTCTTATTATTCAAAAAGTGAACTCCTATTCACGTGGAGGAAGCCTAAAAGGCCATTCACTGTTGATAACTCATTCCTGAATTGCCCCCCTTAAAAATCAAATCCCCCCCCCCCGTGGGGCATATGCCCCACGTTGGGAACCATGGGGACTCTAAGCAGATCTCACACCCTTGGGATCAGTCACTAAACCTCCTGACTTTGACAAAGAGATGCCAAAAGAGGTTCACAACTGAGCAAATGCAGGCTCTGGCACCCTAACAAACACCTGCAATCCAAAGGAACGAATCCCCCCTCCCCAACCCACTTGGCCCATTTATCTCTGGGCAGAAGCGAGGTTGCTCCTCAAGAGGAAGCCCAGCTGTTCAGACTTAACAAGCCAAGTGCTTGCATGTGATATGATCTTTATGGCATGGGAGGAATTCCGCCCATGTCCCACACGGCTCACATTTACCTTCGCTGTGCTGGCTGCCCGCGCTTCCGCCTCCATAGCTGTAGCCTGGGTCAGGAAATCCAGGGTGGGGGTTGTATGGATGGGGTGGCGGGTACTGGTAGGGGAAGGCCATGGGCCATGGGGCAGCTCCTGGATGAGGCAAAGGAGCCAAGGTGTCCTGATCGGAGGCGCCACTGGACCCATCGTGGTCATGCAAGGACAGGCTGGCCATGTCTGTGAAATAGGGACAGAGAAAGGGCAAAGGTTACTCCAGGAGCAAGGGCATAAGTGAGCTTATCCTCATTTCTTACCTATGAAATTCAGGTTGTAGTGCAAACAGGGAATGGGCGGCATGGGAGGATGCTTATCTCCTGGTGGGGAGTTTTTGATTGAAAGCTAAAGATCCCTTCAGAGGAGGTGACTAGTCTGACTCCAAAATACAGGGCAAAAGGGAAAGGATAATGTCAGACTCAGCAAGAAAGGAGACTCCACCTGAACTTTAGGAAGAACTTTCTGATGATGAGAGCTGTTTTGACAGTGGAGCAGACTCCCTCGGGAGGTGGTGGACTCTCCTTCCTTGCAGATTTTTATGCAGAGTTTGGGTGGCCATCTGTCGTGGATTCTTCAGCTGTGATTCCTGCATTGCAGCGGGCTGGACTAGATGAGCTCAGGTTCCCTTCCAACTCTACAATTCTCTGATTCTGAAAAGCCACATGGGCTTGCTTTGAGGGCTCTCCTACTTCTGCTCTCCCAGGAAACAGATGGCCACGTTGAGAGCCTGCCAGAACCACCCACTACCTGTTCTTGCTCCCCCATCCCCTGCACAGTGCAAAGAAGGAGTCTTACTGCCGCAGAGGTCGCCAAAGATGTAGTAGCACTGCTCCGAGAACGTGATCTTGTTGACAGTGTGTCGGATGTAACCGGCCTTCAGGAGGTTGCTGGCATACTTGCGGGATTCTCGCCTGTCTGTGAAGCCTTCTACATGGTGGTAGAGCCAATCTACCACATCGGATCCTGCCAAGAGACAGCAGCAAAGAGGGACTCAGCAAGGATGTAAGCAGACAGCACCTGTTCTGCTCTGAGGAGAGGAAGGTGCTTGGAGGGAAGCTGGCTCCAGCCTTCTTTTGCTGCCTTAGTCCAGCTTAAAGGTAAAGGGACCCCTGACCGTTAGGTCCAGTCGCGGACGACTCAGGGGTTGCACGCTCATCTCGCTCTATAGGCCGAGGGACAGCTTCCGGGTCATGTGGCCAGCATGACTAAGCCGCTTCTGGTGAACCAGAGCAGCACACAGAAACGCCGTTTACCTTCCCGCCGGAGCGGTACCTATTTATCTACTTGCACTTTGACGTGCTTTCGAACTGCTAGGTTGGCAGGAGCAGGGACTGAACAACAGGAGCTCACCCCGTTGCAGGGATTCAAACGGCCAACCTTCTGAGTGGCAAGCCCTAGACTCTGTGGTTTAGACCACAGTGCCACCCAGCTTACTGGGCTATAAAGAAGATGAGGTTCAGAAGTCATAATATACCTATATGCTCCTCCTGACATGCTCAATAACATCTTGCCAACCTCTGTGCTCGATCTGTGCTTAGAATGATGGTTGTGAACCAGAAGTTTCTGACCCAAATCTGTTCTCACCCCTGAACTCAATTCAGGCAAGCCATTATGCTCTCAGCCTCAAGGACACCCCAGCCCCACTTGTGAGACAGGCATAGTAAGACCCATCTTACAGGACACATAAAACACTTAAGTGCACTGTGTAAATGCTAAGTATCCTCTTTATTCTGCTGATCTTGAGGGCTAGAGAATGAAAGCTGAGACTCTAAGGAATCCAATTCTGCAGCAGATGCCATATATAATCCTATATTTAGAGACACTTCTCTTGCAAACAGGTTAGTATGTTTTCCCTCTGAGACACATCTAACCCGTCCTCCTTATGAAGCTCCCATCGCTTATCTCAAATAGGGGCTTGAGACCGTTATCTGCTTGGGAGAGGCAAACAGCGAGTGGTTCTCCCGTGGCCCTTCACCCATTTGCCCTATGGAGGGCCTGCGTCTTACCAATGAAGGCATTGGGGATGGTGATCTTCAGCCACATGCGGTCGCGCACCTCCAAGCCCGACTCTGGCGAAGCCATGGCTTTGACAATCGTGGCCATGTCGCTGTGGATGGACAGGTGAAAGTCATCGAGACCTGCGGGTCGGACGGAGGGAAGGGAGGCAGAGATGAGAGGGGATGGAAAGGCAGAGGAGCACATGAAGGTGCCACACACAGGAGGGTAGGGCAAGGGAACAATACATCACAGGCACACCCTAAGCTTCTGCAATCCTTCTTGGGTCAGGATTCCCCCTAAGAACCACTGAAGGTGCAAAAAAGCAGAGCAGCAGGCCTCATACAGGGCTGCTCTTTGCCTTTTTCCTAGAAACAGTCAACTGCAGTCTAACCACAACACCCTGAGCACACCCAGCCCAAATCACCAGTGGTTTAATCCTTTACTGACAAAGCACAAACTTACAGTTGCCCCAGAGGTGCACTAAACAAACACAGGCACACTTCTGGTGACTAGGCAGCCAGCGCACCTCCCTGGGCTTATGCTCCGAGCTGGACTGCTGGCGCAATGGGTGGCTGCCCTAAACTTAAGTACCCTCATCTGACGGCCTGTGACTCCTTCAACACGGAAGCTGTAGCTGTGCCTGCCTCTTCAAGCTGCTCCTGGGGGACAGTGGGGCGGGGATTCTGCCAGCCTCACCCCTTCAGACACCGCATCTCCCTCCTCTCCTAGCACATCCTGTCCTTCCTCCCCCATCTCTGACTGCTCAGGCCGCTCCCTATCCTCCGTCTCTGGCTGCTGCCTCGCAGGAGGCACAAAACCCTATAAATCGCAACCCTCTTCCCCCAGATCAGCTTCTGGCCCACTACGCCTTCCACCTGCTCTGTGGAGCCCTGCCAGTCCCTGGCACGCAACCTCCCTTACTACCCAGACTGTTTTATCCTTCAACAATAGCTTTTTTTAGAAAGCTCAGAGCAGCTTAAACACCTGATCGGGTACACATCTGCTTAGTTTCAGTAACGCTGCAGCACCAGGCCTTGCCTGTCTTCTCAATGGGCCAACTTCATAGCCTCTGGCCAAAACCCACTCAGAGGCCAGCGCTATGAGGCAGCTCTCCCAAAAGCACCTCTTTGCTGCACAATTCCTAACACATCCACCTTTCCTCTCTTGAGCTCCCTTTTGGAAGAGAGGGCAAGTTCTCCTGTGCTCAGCATCACATCTTCCAACTTCCTCACCATTTGCCTAACAGGAAGCCAGCACTGCGTCCACCTGAATAACTCATGCTCCCTGAAGTTATTCTGGGACCGTTCAGGGTTCTCAGCCAGCGACTGCTTAACTTCAATCCATTTACAAGGGACTCTGCAGTGTTTCAGCCCCAAACACGGCCATTTATCTCAAGCAATTCAGTCAACGCTGCTTCACTGAGAAGGATATTGCTCCACCAGAAAAATCGCTCCACACTGCTACATGTTTATGTGATGTCTTTTGTTATTTTTATTTTCAACGTGTAAGTCGCTTTCAGGCATGGATGTAAAAATGCTACTAATACATATAATAAATAAAAATAGATGGCCCTGTAAAGTTATCAGGGTTCTCCTCCCTCCTTTTTGCAACCCTCTTGATTCTCCCACCGACCACAGAAACAAACAGGAAACGCTCATTATCCTAGAAGAAGCAACTAAGTGAAGAAATCTGTGGCCTTCTGTTTCGCCTAGCCTCACACAGGTCCCTCATCCTGCTTATCCTCTAATCTTTGGTTTAAAATATTTAGCTTCTAAAAGCATCCCTGTTGCTTTATAGCAAAAGATGGAGCAAACACCTCTTTCCATGCAGCTCAAGATCTAGTGAGGGAAACCATCCTCTTTCCAAGCCTCAAATCTGGGTTTTGCCCCTGTGCATGTATTGCTCCTATCAGGTTACGGCGTGCAGGTGACCAGAAGCCGAGCAGGGGTGGGGGACACACAGGCACGAGGACTTACGTTCGGTTTCTGGGATGGAGCTGGTGATGGAGGAGCTGGTGGAAGTGATTGTGCTCATGGATGGGCTCATACCGTACGCTGGGTAGGTGCCGGTCATCGCTGCGGTGTGGGAAACCCAGGCTGCTGGGTCAATGGGCCTGATGGGCTCACCTAAAGGGAACACACAGGGCACGTGAGGAGGCCCCCTCCTCAAGAGTCATCCCCTCTCGCCAAACCTGCCACCTCTGAGCAAGCCCTGTCCTCCCCCAGCATCAGCCGGGACTCACCCGGATCGGAGCATGGAGAGTCTGGCCCAGCCCAGATCCGCTGGGGAGCAACTGGGGGAGAAAGAAGAGAGGGAGGATCAACACGAGGGGTGCGGGGGGGAGCTCCCCCTAGGCGGAGGCGGGCAGGGGGGCACGGGGAGGGTATGCGGGGCATGGGCTGCATGCAGGTAATTGGCCTGCTAACTTGGTAGCTTGTCTTGGGTGTGATGTGGAATAGGGGACTGATTAGGCAGAGATGGAAAGGGGCAGGAGAGAGGCAGAGAAAGAGAGAGCAGCACAGAGGACCAGAAAAAGGGGTTCGAAACCTCCGTCACACCCTTAGGGCCAATTTATACATTCAACAGAAAGAAGCAGTCAGGTGTTTCCAAGATAGCCAGATGGGTTGTGTATAAGTAATACATCATCATCATCATCATCATTATTATTGATGCAGGTAAGGGATCACGCCTACAAAATATTTATTTGTTGTTACATTTTTATGCCACCTTTCTCCAAGGTACTCAAGGTGGCAAACATGCTTCTCCCCCCCCCCCTCTGTTTTGCCCTCCCAACAACCATGTGCTGTAAGTTAGGCTGAGAGCCAGTGCGACTGGCACCCCAGTTCTCCCAGGGTGCTTCATGGCTGAGTGGGGATTTGAACCCTGGCCCTCCAAATCCCAGTCCAGCATTCTAACCGCTATACCACACTGGGTCTCATGTATATAAAATCTCCCTCTATGTTGTAAAACTAGCAGGGTGAAGGGCTTCGGCCTAGCTTTCTCTCCCATACGCTATTTGGGTACAAGGAGCCCCTACTCTATCCCAGTAAAGGAGCATTCAAACATGCAACTCCCTTGGCCACTTGCATCCTGCAACAAGGCAATTGGTTCTATAGAATACCAGTCCTCATGCACACTACTAAGCAAACCAAGAAATGAAGCAAAAACCACTTACTCCTGGGTAGCGAGAAGCAGCCCCTGGGGCTGGGATCCCAGCACTTGGCAACAGTCAGAGTGATGGGCCTGGAAGAGAAACACAATGGCTGTCACTGCTACCAGATCTGGTCAGCTCAGTTCACAGAAAAGCCACCCACATGCACACGTCTAGACATGCAGAAGAAACAAGAATAAATCTTCCCCTATAAACTGAGTGGGTGAGTTTTACATCCCTAAAGCTCAGTACTGGGGTATTATGATGGAAAAAGACAGGGAAGCATGTGAGAAGTTCTCGCTTGCTTTGAACACTGGCCCCCTGACACTTTGTGTTCCCCTTTCTGCTATATCAAAGTAAATAACATAATATACAGAAAGGGGAAAACAAAGTGTCAGGGGCCAGAAAGGCTGTCCTTTTGCCTAAACAGAATTCCACTGCCACCAAACCCAAATGCAGCAACTAGAAAAGATGAAGGCTGGTGCCACTATCTTTGTCTTTTGCTCGCACACAACGAACCTGTAAGCCTTGGGCTATCTTTCCTTGAAATTTTTATTTTTACTGATCTGCGGGACTTAACTGTCCTCTAGGCCCACTTGGAACAGTCAGCAGTCCAAGATGGCCATGGATCTTCTGCAGGGCACCAGGGGGCACTGCTGGAAACTGAGCGCCAGCCCTGCATTACCAGACGCCACCAAGCCCACACTCCCAAGAGCAGTTGTAGGTTTGGAGAGTGAGCTGCCTTGGAGCTGCAGGGGGAGAAAAGGCTACCTACCCTGGCTTGTGCACAATCTCCCTCAGCACTCGCACAGCGTCGTCGTTGCTCATGTTTTCAAAATTGATATCATTCACCTGCAGAGAAAGATGAAAATGTACGAGCCCCACCAAAGTGCATGGGTCTTGAATGAACATGTGGAGATGCCTGATAGCAGTATTGAGAGCCAGTGTGGTGTAGTAGTTATGAACGGTGGACTCGTAATCTGGAGAACCGGGTTCGTGTCTCTGCTCCTCCACATGCAGCTGCTGGGTGACCTTGGGCCAGTCACACTTCTCTGAAGCCTCTCAGCCCCACTCACCTCACAGAGTGTTTGTTGTGGGGGAGGAAGGGAAAGGAGAATGTTAGCCGCTTTGAGACTCCTTAAAGGGAGTGAAAGGCGGGATATCAAATCCAAACTCTTCTTCTTCTCTTCTATTGGGATAGATGGATCAATCTGGTCACCATCAGGTAGAAGTATTTCCCAGCCTGCAACCTTTTCAAGGTAGAGATGTGCTGGAGAGGGCAGTGGCTGCTCCACATCAGATAGGCTTCTAAGAAACTGATTGCCTTGACCCTTTCCAGTCTAGGTTCAGTCCTGTGCTTGAGGCTGAAACAGCCTTGGCTCCCCTGACTGATGACCTGTATCAGGAGCGTGACAGCAGGAGTGTGACTGATCTCCTGATCTCTTGGTGGCTTTAGATGCCATTGAGCAAGGCATCTTCCTGGACCGGCTCCGTGGGTTAGGAAGCCTACAATGATCTGGCGGTTCCACTACTACCTGCAGGGCCACGTTCAGAAGGGAGCTATTGCTCAGCCTTGTGGCACACTTTGTGCTGCGGGGATTTGCAAGGCTCTATTGTATCCCTCATGCTATTTAGCATCACGGAGCAAAGTGGCACCCAGCCATGTTTCTCCTTCCCATCTGAATCAGGTGAGGCTGTACACGTCTTGGAACAATGCCTAAACACAGTGGTGGACTGGAGGAGGGTCACAAAACTGAAACCAAACTAGACAGAGGAGCTGTGCATGGGCAGTTATCAGATCTGGGAAGTAGATTGCTGGCCTGTTCCAAGTGGGGTTGCCCTTTCCTTGGACAATGAGATGGCTAGCATGGAGCACCTTCTGTCAGCTATGGCTGGTTCATCAAGTAAAGCAGTTCCTGGACAGGGAGTGCCTGATTACAGTGACCAATGAAGTGGTGACCTCCCAGCTGGACTATTATAATGTGCTGGGGGGGGGGCGCTACCCTTGATGAAGATCCAGAAGCTGCAGCGAGTGCAGAATGTGACAGCTAGGCTTCTAAGTGGCTTAACCCACTGGGGGCATGGAACGCCTACCCTGAAAGGTTTCCATTTGCTCAGAATATGCTGTTTGGGCAAAATTCAAGGGGCTAGGGGTGATTTATGAAGCCCTATAGAACAGGGGGCCTAAATACTTGAAAAATCTGCTCATATATATGAAACTGCCTCTGATTTGGATCAGCAGGGCAGACTTTCCCAGCTGTGCTGCAGGCATTTGAGATCTGCTATGCAGTTATCTCAGTGGTGGTCCCCTGGTGCCAATCCCTCTGAGATAGAAGACTATCTGAAACAGAAATCACCTAGCAGTTTCTGCCACCACCTGAAGACCAAGCATTTGTGGGGTATGGCTGCGGGGATATATTATCAGCTCTAGTGTTTGTACTGCAGAATACTAATTGCTTTGTTGTTCTCTGCCCTGGGGTTCCTTGTCAGTGAAGGGCTGGCCAAAGATGTTTTAAACAAATGCTATGGACTGAGCTTTGGGCTTGTACACGCAACGTGTGTGCTCTGCCCCCCACCTATGGCCTCTTTCCTAGATCTGACAGTTCTTGCCTAGTAACAGGCAGGTTTTAAGCTTTCAGAGCCTTAGGTACACAGCCCAGAGGGTTTATCATGGCCCCAGGGTTCCCTTGAGATACGAACCATCATTTACACAAACAAGACATTCCAGATCAGCCATCCTGATTTTATCTCTGTCCTGCGCTTCTCTACGGAGATGTGAACTCAACCTTCCACAGATAGCAAGTACACTCTCTGGTATAGAATCACAGAATTATAGAGTGGAAGGGACCAGGAGGATCATCTAAGCCCAACCCCCTTTTGCCCAACGTGTGACTTGAACCCACAACCCTGAATTAAGCTCTCCATGCTCTGCCATAACTGAAATCTCTGTTGTGATCACAGGATAACAGATTCTGTAGAAAGAGGCCTGGTTCTCACGTCATGCTCAGCCAAACCCTAAGCTCACTGTTCAACTGTGTGGGCTGGCTCCTGGACAGAAACCTGTGGATGCTTTGCTCCTCCCCAGTCCTTTGCGCGTCGCATCGCACTGAGCTTAGCATATTGTGAGTATAGCATGAAACCAAGGCCTCTTGGACATCTGGCTCTCAAAGTTTTTAAAAAATTAAAAAGCACCTGCAGCAGCATGTCTCCGGGCTCAATTCTTCCATCGGCTGCCACAGCCCCTCCCTTCATGATGGAGCCAATGTAGATGCCGCCGTCGCCACGCTCGTTGCTCTGCCCGACGATGGAGATGCCCAGGAAGTTGTACTTCTCTGCACAATCATAGAATCATAGAGTTGGAAGGGACCCGAAGGGGAGGTATTTGTGCAGTTAGAACAGCACACAACCAATGGCCAGCATTTCATTAATCCAGTCAGGCCATTAACTTGCTACAAGGAATGCCTGTTAGGTATTTTTAGACAACAGAAAATGGAGACAGGCTGAAAATGTTTGGGAGGGATTGGATGACCAAATCTAAATCATCTTGTTTTATTGGTAAGCAAAAAAGGAAACTGCCTTTTTTTTAAATAAAAAAAGGGGGGGACACAGAGATAGGCATTACCTGTGTGGTAGCACATACTAGAGACTATGGACAAATGGAAAACGATATAAACATGTAGCACTTAGCAAAAAATAAATAAATGGCACAGGCCATTTAGCATTACATTATGAAATAACATTTTGTCTATGGCAGAAGAAATCCAATACAGTGGTACCTCGGAAGTCAAATGAAATCCGTTCTAGAAGTCTATTCGACTTTCAAAATGTTCAGAAACCAAGGCGCAGCTTCCAACTGGCTACAGGAAGCTCCTGCGGCCAATTGGAAGCCGCGTCGGACGTTCGGGTTCCAAAGAATGTTCGCAAACTGGAACACTCACTTCCGGGTTAGCAGCATTCAGGAACCAAAACGTTCGACTCGCAAGGTGTTTGGGATCCAAAGTATGACTGTAGTTTGCTCTTCAGCAATCAGGCCTGAGATGCAAAATATCCATTTGCCCACTTCCTTCCCACCATCCCAATCTGGGTTATGTGGGCCAAATGGCTTCAAGCAACTACCTGTACTCACCCATGTTGAGGGTAACTGTGATAATGTTCAACGACATGGTAGAATCTGTGATGCTGCTGAAGGATGAGGACTACAACAGAAAGGAAGAGGATGAGACCCAAAACGTAACCTACATGCCACTTACAAGACCTGTGGAGAGGGTGGGGTAACGATGCCCTCAAAGGTTCTCTCCCTTTTTTCCTTAATTTTTAAATTGTGCCCAACCACTCGTGAGGTCACTTGCAGCACTTCCCCTACTCCCAGACACCCTCCCAGGCATCTCACCCGTTCAATGCGTGGTACTTTCTGCTTCCGCCTGCGTCGCTTGTGCCTTCTCATCAGCCGGGAGGCGCTACTCTGCTCTGTTGAGCTGCTGAACCTACAGTATGGAGGCAAAAGCAAGGCTCACAAGGTGGCAACCAGGAAAACCACAGAAAAAGGGAGCAAGGAGGCAAAAAAACCCAAAACCCTCTGGGTAACTAGGAATGTAATTAGAAGAGGACAGGGAGCCACCTTGGCCAATCCCTTGCACAAGAAAGGACCTCCTCTTCCATCCATTTCTTGTCCCCAAGCACACACAAAAACAAAGCAGCAAATGAACAGACACATCACAAAAATGAGTTCCAAGAGATTAGAACAGGCTAGGCCACATGCTGCAGAGGCTCTCTGTACCAGGTTTTGCCAACATGTTGGCCTTCAGATTTGGACCACAATTCCCATCAGCCTCTGCAAGCACAGCCGTGGCTGATGGAAGTTGTCGTTCAAAACATCTGGGGGCCACCAGTTCGGCAAAGACTGATTTACACTGTGGGAGAAATATGACTCCATGGGGAACCTGGCGAACCATTAAAAAGTTTCATTTATTGCTTCTTGCATAAAGCAGGGAGGGGGAGCCTGTGTTGTTGGACTACAACTCCCATCTTCCCTGACCACTGACTGGAGCAGGTGGGCGTTGGGAGTCCCAACAACATCTGGATCATAGGTATCCCATTCCTGGTGTTAAGGGAACTGGGGAGGAACTGGAATACACACTGTCCTCCTTTGAACATGTTTGGTGGGCAACTTTCTAACAAAAGCCGGTGGTGAGCAAGACATACCTACAGGGTATTTTGGGGGCAGGGGAGGTGTTCACATCACTCAACAGTCTGTTTCTGGTTGCAGCTGTTCCTAACTGTGGCAGAGCAATGTTCAGGACAGAGGGACAACTTCCTAAACCAGCTTGGCAATGTGAGCAATTGGAAGATGAAAGATATCCTGCACTCAGTCTACCAAACTCCAGGCAAATACTGCTGCGATGGTTCTTCTTTAGAAGAAAAACGATGCACAGGTAAATACTGCAGTGTGTGCAAATAAGACAAGCACAGTTGAACAAAGTGTCTCCTACGCGTACATTCAAGAGAGTCAGGGTCAGGTCCCTGGCAAGTCCACACACTTTTGCAAACCCTGGCTGACTGCCACAATGTGAAGAAAGGCCAAATCTCTGGAACTCAAATCAGTTCTTTGCTTCCGCAATTGTTCCAGGGAGACTAAAATCTGGAGGAAGAAAGATGACTGGGGCGAGTCAAGGGAGAAGCGTTAGATTGGAAAGAGGAACTGAGGAGTTTTTATTTGGGATCCTTCACCAGACTCCAGTCATAGCAGGTCACTTTCTCCCAAGCCATGAATATTCCTTTACCTGCTTGTAGAATCATCTTCATCTGAGTCGAAGAAGCTGGTGGTTTCGAGTTCACTGCTCATGAGGGTGGAGGAGCTTTCATAGCCCCCTAGTTCCCGCCGCCGTTCCGCCTTGGCTGTCCCGTTCACCCTGGGGGCTGGAGCAAAAGGAGGAGAGGGTCAACGGCCAAGGGGAGCCATTCAGAAGAGAAGGCCTTCAAAGAGCCAAACAAATATATATCCCACCTGGGAAAGGATCGCCAGTTGCCTTTCTAGCAATGGGGAAGCGAAAATATAAGGGGGCCTACAAGTAACGGTGCCTTCATAGCACACCGTGCAAACTAGGCAATCCTACAGAACAACAACCCTGAAGGAGGCTGGCAGGGTTGAGTGGGAGAGGGTTATATCAACATAGCAGCCCTCGTTGGCAAACTCTTTCCGTTGGCAGAAAACTAAAAATCTGAACCCAGTTTTCACTCTGTGAGAAGGAGCAGTATGGGAAGGGGAAGGCCTTCTGAGTCCCAAGCAATCTTTGAGCAGGCTCCCTCTCCCCACAACTCGTCAGATCATTCTTTCTTCTCTGTTTTAAAGTCTGCCCATTTGATCAGATGGGCAGCTGGGTCCGTGGAGGAGCCAGGCCCTGAGTGGGTACAGGGCTGCTGGGGCCCTGAATTGCACGGGAATTTCAAAAATTGTTGGCTTGGGATGGCGGCAGAGAAGGTGGACCTCCCAAGGCCCGAGGATGGGGATGAACCTGACCCATGCACACAGCAGCAGAGTCAAGGGCACAGCCTGCAGAGCAGACTTTGATAGAGGTTAGGGTTGTGGGTGGGGACTACTACTATAGCCAGTTGAACTCTAGGAAATAAACTTCACCATGTTCAGGTCCATCTTTCCTGCGCGGCCTTTCCCTCTGTATCGATACCACTGAGTCAGTCTCCGTCTCATTATCCAGGTTCTCTCGACTTCCTCCAGTATTGGGGCTGCAGAGTAAAAAACAAACAAACACACATACACACATAGTAGAAAACTCTGCGCAGAAGCACCTCCTCCAAATTTGCTCACAGAAGTGACGCTTAAAAGGCTGAGGGCAGAACTTAAAACATGCAAAAGGTGTGCTGTGCAATCCTTTCTGGACTGTACCATGTCAGACGGCAGGATGGGGGCCTGAATATTTGGCATTCCCTGTATTTTCTTTTTTAAAAAACCAAATGCACACTCTTCTTTCTATATGTAAAAAATCCTAGCATATCAGAGAGAAATGTTATCAGGCTTCTTTTTCCTGCTAGTTTCACATGTGCCAGGAAAACATCTAAACACATGGCTCCTTGAAGTAGTACACTCCAGAAAAGGCTGCACTAGATACTTTTTCTGGTCAGGGGCGGAAGCCAGCAGTTATCTGGAGTGCCAATGCTCCCAGTGTCCTCAGGCTGCACCCACAAACCTTACATGATGCTGCCAAGAATCCCACTTGCTCCCCACACCCCAGAATACTTCAACAGCTATTTTATCAACAGCATTATGGGCATCTAATGAAGCAACTGCACACAGATTCCTCAACAGTTTCCCGTAATATATACTGCTTTCAGCATCTTACATATGGGATCTGCAATATATCAATGTTTAACAAAACCAACTTGATCTGCATGGATTATACTAGGCAACATATTTGCCAATCTATTAGCTAAAATACCAGTAAATATTTTAGCACCCTGCTCAATGAGTGAAGTGGGTCTATATGATTCTGGAGCCTCTGAATCTTTACCTAGTTTCACTAATACTACTATTCTAGACTCTTTCCAGGATCCTGGGACCATTGCCCCTGTTAAAATGCTGTTGAACAACCTGCCCATGTGGGGGGGATCAAGGTTTCTGAATTTTTAAAATAAAAGTTACCTGTCAGACCATCAGAACGCTTCAACAAAGACACAAGAAAGAAACACTTCCCAGCTGCACCAACCTCACGTACTCCATCAATAATAAAATTGTTTTCTGGGTGTAGGAGTGCTGTGAGTGGCAACCCCAACTGCCCCCTATTCCTCCAGGGTAGGTCTGAGGTTTTTTCAACATGAAGGTAGCCATGTACAGCAACAGCAATGTATGAAGGCACCTTACCCAAGGCCAAGCATTGATTCATCTGGCCTGGTACTGTTTACTCTGAGCAGGAGCAACTTTCCAAGGTCAGGGTATTTCCCAGCAATCTGTGATCCTTTTCAACAGGAGCTACTGGGGATTAACTCAGCTATGGACACGCCTACATATGGCAGGGGTGGATGCCAGAGCACAGTGTCCATAAGCCACTGTGTCAAGTTTAAGTGTTAAAAGAGGAAAGAAGCCCAGTAAGTTCAAGTCTCAGTTTCCTTTGTGGATCCCGTGCTGAGAGCACTCCAAGCACAAGGCCACCATGCTCAGGAATTGGGTCTCTCTAGTGTTAACTTTTATCCCTGCCACTTGAAACAGGCAGAGACTAAGCTTCCCTTTCGCCAGAAGAGAATGGAACCTTGAACGCGCTTCCTGCAGAGAAACTGCTCAACTTTCTCCCTGCTCAAGGTAAGGCTGCTCCTTATACACATACACAGACACACAACTTACTGAAAAGAAGGAGGCCTGGAGTCTCCTATCCCTCCAGTACGCTCAATGGAAGGCGGCAGCTCCGGCTGATTGTCGGCGCAGACAGACCCGGCGTCCGAATGAGACCCCTCAGCAGACACCAGCTGAAAGGAGAAAGCAAGCTCAAGGTAAGCCAGCCTAGGCAGATAAAAATATTCTTCCATTTTGAAGGGTAGGTTCAAAGTTTTGCAATATAACAAAGCAGCCTATTGGTCTAGTTACGTACATCTGTTTAGAGACACTATAAGAAATAAGGATGTTACTCTGAGGTTGTGCTGCTGGGATGGGAGCCAAGATCTAACGTCTAACTGCAGGGATAAAGGACAAATCACAGCACTTACGGAGGCACCTGCAAAAAGTGGCTTCAGAGGAAGACTAAAAATCAGCTTTGCAGGCTAAAAATAGTAACAAACAGGGCTACAAAAGATGGGGAGGGGACACCCTAAGGTAAAAAAAGTAAAGCACCCCAGATAATTAAGTCCAGTCAAAGGCAACTATGGGGTTGCAGCACTCATTTTGCTTTCAGGCCAAGGGAGCCGGCATTTATCCACAGACAGCTTTCCGAGTCATGCAGCCAGCATGACTAAACCGTTTCTGGCGCAACAGGACACCGTGACAGAAGCCAGAGCACACAGAAATGCCATTTACCTATTTATCTACTTCCATTGGTGTGCTTTTGAATTGCTAGGTTGGCAGGAGCTAGGACAGAGCAAGGGGAGCTCACCCTGTCATGGGGATTTGAACCGCCGACCTTTCGATCGGCAAGCCCAAGAGGCTCAGTGGTTTAGACCACAGCGCCACCCACGTGCCTATCAGTTTACTGACATTAATACAGAGGTAGCCCACTGAGTATTTGATGTTCTTTAATTGTTGCCGGTGCTGCTGCAACCATTTCCCCTGCATTAAGTACTTCCTAAAAGTACTAAACCATCACTTAATAGTGACTCCCTTCTGCAAAAATGAATGCATATGTTTAAAGAAACCTGTGTAGAGAAGAAGGATGCAGGTGGCACTATGGTTCGGCGGTTCGAATCTCTGTGACGGGGTGACCTCCCGTTGTTCGGTCCCAGCTCCTGCTTACCTAGCAGTTCAAAAGCACGTCAAAGTGCAAGTAGATAAATAGGTACCGCTCTGGCGGGAAGGTAAACGGTGTTTCCGTGTGCTGCTTTGGTTCACCAGAAGCGGCTTAGTCATGCTGGCCACATGACCCGGAAGCTATCTGCGGACAAACGCTGGCTGCCTCAGCCTATAGAGCGAGATGAGCACCGCAACCCCAGAGTTCTCCGCGACTGGGTCTAACGGTCAGGGGTCCATTTACCTTTATGTAGAGAAGAGCCTTGAGAGCCAACTTGGCAGCTACAGGAAGTAGGTGGATTCTTTCTCCCAGGAGCGACAGGCTGGGAATCAGTCTACCAACATGCCTGAAGACAGGATTCCTTGGATGAACAATCCTGTCTAATCCCTGGCCTCTTGAGCTGTCTGGACGGACTCTGGCTGAACTCCCCCACCCCATCTTCCTAAAATTAGAGTCACACTCCTGAAATAGCTCCTCAGTGTCTGGACCCAGCAACACACACACACCCTCACCCCACTCCTAAGTCATGGGGGATATGAGAGCAGGAGGCGACAGGCACAATGCACAAAGGAAGAGGCCACTCTTCACTCAAAGGGCCCAGCTGTCCTGCTAGGAAACAGATGGCATACAAAGCCAAAAGGCTGTGCCTAGAAATCTCAAAATTCTGTGCCCGGAATAAACCCTGCCAGTTAGGAAATCTGATTATTCTAATTGGATAATATTCAGGGGTTGCAGAATGTGGGATCTTTTGCAATGATCCCTGGAAGGAAAGGATAGTGGGGGGAGGCGGGCCAGGACCTTGCCAAGAGACAGGTAAATAAATGCAGAGATCTCACACCTGGCTATTCAAAAGTTCTACAACACTCTGTCTAGCACAGATTGTTAACACAGTAATAGGTTTAGAGTATTTCCCGATTTGCAGGTAAATGGGCTAGAAGCTTTGTTTATTCTTCAAAATGAAGTTTTCAGGATTGTGTGCCAGAAGCCATATTTGTGGAATAATAATGACTATTCTAGGACTGAGTGCTACTAAACATTGGTAATCTATATAGTTCACCAGGATATTTTACTGCAAATAGCTGTTTCTGAGGTCATCTATTTCTAAAAGGGGGCAGGTTTTGCCCCTCACCTCTCCGCTGCCCCAACCTTCCCAGCTGCTGCTCTGTCAATGTCTCCCATGGCGATTGACAGCAGCCACTGACATCTATCAGAGGGGAGGTGAAAGGGGCTGCAGTGTCAGCTGCAACTAACTTTTGGTCCGATCATATCTATGAGACTTGTTTCTCCCCAACCTCAGTTTCTGTTTCTGACTGCCCCTCAACTTTTATCCAAACAGAAACGCAGCTGATGCTGTGGAAATATGGTGTCTCTCCACCCCCTCCCAAATCCCAGATAAGTGATAACTGATACCAGTGTCAGATAAGCAAGACAGGTTGTCTTCCCCATCAAACGTCTTCCTACTGCAGCCTCATTCATTTTTTGTTACAGGTCAATGAGGACTACTGGCTTCTATGAGAAAGAGAAGATGGGCCAAAATCTGTAATGGAGGGTGGTGGAGTAGGGATTGGGGGGGGGGGCAGCAAGGCAGCAGGGAGGACAGATGTCTGCTCATAGTGTATATATATCTCCTCTTCCACCCTCTGGATTCCTCCTGCGTGTGGGTGGGTGGCCCCCTTCCAGAAGCGGGTGACACAGTGCAATGGAAGGTGGAAGCAGTGGCTATGCATGATGTATGAACACATACATTATCACTGTCCCTGCATTACAGGAATAGGACTGAGCCCCAAAGAAGGCCTTGCTAAAGTTCAACCATTTACAACAGCCTTTCCCAACTGGTACCTTCCAGATGTTTTGGAATACAATTCCCATCACCACCAGCCAGCGCAGCAACTTTTGGAGCAACTGGCAATATTAATATGGCAGCAGCAGTTCTGTGACTGACTGCCTTGAGAGAGAAGATAAAGGAGGACTTTTTCCACAGTAAAGCGACCGTGCAAACTATTGCACCCTAGAACAGGCCAGCACAATGCATTACCCATAAAACCAACACCTTGCACCAGTCATGAGTTGCGGGCTTTCAGTGGTGAACCACCCCTTGGTTTTTCCAGCCTCGGGCAGGCACCCAAAACATGAGGTCTACTCAACCTGGTAGGGCACAACTTGTGCAGGATTTCCTTAAAATCATAGGGACAAGAGCAGTCTTGATATTATTCATGTCATAAAAGGGGCAACCGATGGTAAAGCGTTCAGAATCCAAATCTAGCATAAGCGGCAACCTAAATCCGGGCCTCTAAGCTCACAGAGCTAACACTCCACTGGGACCTGTGGTATTAGAAGACGACATCTGGCTTGCGCAGCCAGTACTGGGCTAAGACATTTGCTTTCTGAAGCAAAACATACTATGGCAGCCCAGCCCAGCCCATTCTATGGCTGCTGTAAAAGCAAGCTCAAGGAAGATATCTGGATGTGTCTGAAAATAAATACAAAAAGAGGCTGCTAAAGACACTGCTTCATTACACAGCAGCTGTTTTACAGCGTATCCAACAGTCAGAAATCAGTTTTACACATTCACTCCTATCGAACCTACCAAGTAGCCTGTGACTTTAGAGGTTTTAATTTAGAATGTCTTGATTTGTTTAGCAGATTGCTAGTTTAGCATTAGACCTAACTAGGATAGATGTTTACATTCCGCTTGCAAACACTGAAAGAGACTTTAAAGGAGCTGGGAGCTTAGCTGTGGTATGAGATCTTTCCCATTACGAAAACGTGTACTGGCCTTGTTTCAGCATTTTAATCTATGTTAGTGTTGGTTAACGAACCAGGAAAATTAGCCAGGATCCTTTCTTCTAATGGTTTATAAAATGAGGAATGATTGTCTGAACCAAGGTTTCCCAAACTTGGATCTGCTGTTGTTTTTGGACTACAGTTCCCATCATCCCTGAGCACTATTCCTGCTAGCTAGGGATGATGGGAGTTGTAGTCCAACAACAGCTGCAAACCCAAGTTTGGGAAACACTGGTCTGAACCATGCTGCACTTACATATTACAAAGGTCTTGATTAATTTTAATTCAAATTGATTAAAGCATGTCCCCAAACACAATAATTTGCCCAACTTTTCTATCAGTGGCATAAAACTGAATTGTTTTGATGACTACATACCAAAGATCCATCTACGTCCAGCAACAATCAGTTAGTTCATGAGGATGCACTGGAGCTTATCCAATATCCAGCCATGGAAGGAAAAGAAGAGGTTGTCACTTGCCAATGAGTCTCTCCCTGCTTCCTTCCTCTTTCATGCCAAGGCTGCCATCCCATGCACCCTTGCTTCAGTGTATGTTCCACTGAACGGAAGGGGACTTACCTTTGAGTAGATATGCTTAAGAAAGTTTTACATTGCTAGGTTCTTACCCACTGGGTTAAGAGTCCAAAGGAATCCAAAAATGGATTGCGTCCTGCTTGATGAAGTGCTCCAGAGCCTAGAATCTGAACCCCAACCCTCCTTACTCTGAGGTGGTCCACCTGGTTTCAGCTGAACATGTGCAAAATTAAGGCATTCACTGGAAGGAAGTACCTTGCAAAAACCTTTTAAGGGATAAAGGGGGGGGGGAGAAATAAAAAGCCCTGACTCCTCTCACACCAAAGTATAAGCAGGGCAAGTGAAGACAGAACAGGGAATTGCTTCAGCTTAGGACTACTGGGAAGACTTGCACATGCACACAGCCGCTAACTCTCACATTCTTTCACCTTCCAAGTTTTAAGGCTTCTGCTGCCTTCCTCTCCAATGGTTGAGCTGAACTCCTAGCCCAGTGTGGTATAAAGTGCTCAAACTGGCAAGCGAACCTGCCAGCTGACCGGCAAGTGGAAAAGCTGTGTTTGCCTTTCTTTTTCCTAGGCAAGGCTGCTGCTGCTGCTGCTCCTGTGCGGCCAGTTGGGCAAGGTGGAATAGAGCATGCTCAGTTTTAAATGGAAAAGGAGAAGGTGCTGGGTGGGTAGAGGCCAGAGAACCAAAGATGAGGAGGCCACATAGGCACAGTAAACCTGAGAATTAGGCATTGCAGTTACAGGCCCTGTGAGGAGGGGCACTTCAGCTAATTGGATTCCAATATGTCACTTGAAGCGGCTGCTTAACCTGCCCACATGGTAAAGCCACTCCTGTACACAGATGCCTGGAAAAAGACCCAGTCAAGAATCCAGCTTACCCAAGACACCACGCGGCCGTTGAAACAGGGAAGCTTTGCATTGTCGTCTGAGATTTCTTCCTTCACAACGCTGCAAAAAGAAGAGAGAGACAGATGTCAAAGTACAGGCCAGCACATGAGGTCAAAAAATAACAGAGCTGGCAGCCTGATTCTAGGGCAAAAAAACCCAGAAGAACCTGGATTGCCATGATAATAAAACCTGAGGATGTTTCTTAAGAGGCGGAGATTGGGCATGATACATCAATGCATCTCAATTCCACATCCTAAGCCCTACCTACCCAATCAAGACAGCTCAAATCCAACCAGAAACATCTGTACTTCCTAATCTGCTTATTTCTCAGGTCATATTTGTGGATCTGTCAACTTGCAGCTAAGCCCTCTCAAATTTCTGCTTCTTATTTATGATTTCTATAAAAGGAAGTGTGTGTGTTTAACAGTTCATTTGTCCCTTAGAGAGCCCTGTGAAGCGAAGCAAGATTGAGATGTAGAGACGTGTCTAGGCTGCCCGGAAAACTACATGACTAAGCACGAATCTGCATGGGAATCCTTCTTAAAAGAAAGATGGGGGGAGAACAAGGCTGTTTTGCACAATGACAGGCGAAAACATTGTTCACTTTAAAATGATAAATCAAAGTAAGCCACATTATCCTGTCAGGTCTCAATATTTCAATTGATGTTTTATTCTGAGGAAGAGAACTGATCCCCTTTCTATTGCTGGCTCCTAGACTACACACAACAACTTACCACAAGGGTATTTTAAGGTATGAAAGGCAGACTATAACGTAACATATCCGGAAGACAGAAGTCAAAGGGGACATGGTGGGATGGTCCCAATCCTGTACAAAGGAAAACTGGGTTCTGTAACCTGCATAAACTATGGGGAGCCTATATTATATTGCATTGCCAATACTAATGTTTCCTTTTAAAAAAAATAGCAGAGATTCCTTAGAATGCAAGCCTACTTGGAGCAAATGATATGAAAGAAAATCTATAGTTGCTGGCTAAATGAAGTGAACCTATAGATTAGGGGTCAGTAAAGTTTTTCAGCAGGGGGCCGGTCCACTGTCTCTCAGACCTTGTGGGGGGCCAGACTATATTTTGGCGGGGGGGGGAATGATGCAAGAGCACTACGAGCCCCTGTGGCTGCTTACCTGTGTCTTACAAGCAGCAGGGGCTGGTGGCAGCAGTGGAAGGACGATGAGCAGCGTGTAAAAGGGCTGCGGAGAGGGGCTGCTCAAAATGGCGGCCACTAGAGCGCTGCTGCTGCTGGCACCAACAAAACCCAGCCCCCTTCCTCCTCTAGGCAGGGCAGGGAGAAGCCAGGAGGAGGGAGGGAGGAGGCACAGCCGCCATATGAGGGATCCGCATGCAGGCGATCCTCGTGGCGATTCCTGGACCATCTGCAGGCCGGATCCAGAAGGCAATTGGGCCTGATCCGGCCCACCGGCCTTAGTTTGCCGAGCCATGCTAGAGATGCAACATTTGTGAACAAGAAGGGACTGTTGTCTTCTGTTCCGCAAGTGTATCAATGCCTCCAGATCAGAGTGGCAGGGATGCTGGGGCACTCAAGCTCTCAGAGGCCCCTTTGAGGACAGAAGGGAACAGGTGTGAGCAACATCTGGCCTTCAATTTGGAAGCAGCAAAAGGTCTTTGGACTGGCCAGGCATAACTTAAAGACAAGGAGCCTGACCGTCTGCTGTTGCCTGGCCAACACAGCGGAGCTGTCTGATTGCTGGCCCCCTTGCCCTCCTTTAGTCCTCCAGCAACTGGCCTCAGGCATCCTTGGCTGGTGAAGATGATTTAGAGGCACATGGGCTTAACCTTCCCCTGGCACACAGCAAAACAAGAGCTATTTGACAAAAGGCCTTTAAAAGCTTAAGATTGAAATCTTTAGCTGACTCTTATTTAAATCGCTTTATTTCCATCCCAGCAAAGAACCTGTAGCAACATGTTTGAGCATCCTGGGGCATAAGACAAGACACAAATATGGCCTTTTCTCCTCAATATACACAGTGTCTAAGCTCCATAAATGAAAGCAATTGTGCGTGTAGGCGGAACGGAGGCTGAGATATCCCCACCGCAAAACCCTCCTCGCTTATGGAAGGCCATATGTTCCTGCCAAAATGAGACAGACTTTGAAGTCGCTTCACCAGATGGAACCATGCAAGAAAGTACAATCGTTTGGGTCAACGCCTTGGCGGAGTGGAGGGTGCAGAGAAGGCAGCCCACAGGCTTCAGCTCAGACGCTGTGTTACTGTTAGGAGAGGCCCCATCTTTTTAAAAAGGGGTGTCAATCACTTTCAGATTTGGAAATCCTATGTTCTTCAGGCAAAACACCTCTGAATGTGCCATGATCAACCAAGCCCACTTCTGCTGAGAAAAACGTATTCACTCCAACAAAATCCTCAGAAGCTCAGCTTTCGGAAAGTTGGGTTTCTAGTCCTCATGGTTGCCTAAAAAAGCTGAGAAACTTGACTGAGGCACAATGTGGCTTCTACTGGTTGGGGTGGTGACTAGTCCCACCCTTCATAAATCCACTGGCTATTCTGGTCACACAAGAATCCTTGGCTTTCTGGTCTGACCTTGAGTTCTGTAAAAAAAGGGGACTCAAGTAACTTCATGCACAAGATGAAGATTACAATCTGTACAGCACAAATATTATTTGAAAAATGGCCACCTATATGGAGAACCTTTCAGTCATCTTCAGCTTTCCCAGTGCTCCAAGGATCCATACATCAAAACGGGTTTGGAAAATGTGCAAGCTGAGCTTTAAAGGCCCGTCAGTCTACAGCACCAGAGGGAAGGAGGGTTGGAAATTACATGGGGACACAGAGAAAGTCTGGACAGGCTATTACTGTCATATAACTATAGTGTTTAAAGCAAGAAGATGAGGCCAAGGAGTAAACCCTACACAAATCCAAAGTGGAGCCCCTAAGATGGTTGAATGGGGCCTAGTACACTGACTCCTTCTGGCAACACCTGCAGCCAAGCTGGTGCCAAACGTATTGCTTTCCTTTCCTTTGGACGAAATCAGCAATGCCATGTGTGTTTGTGTTGTCGTTCTGGCAGCCTAGGGCCTCCATACACTCTGCCCAGGCTTGCATTGCAGGGAGGTCACTTCGGTGCTCCCAGTGCAGCCGTTTGGCTTCACCCCCAGAAGCACACTCCATTGTCTCTCAAGGTAAACAGGTGCCAACAACAACTAGTTCCTACTGAGCCAAATTTAAGGTTCTTGTATTAATTTACAAGGCCCTTAACGACTCAGGTTCAAGGATACCTTAGGGACTGATGGATGCCTTATATCCCTGCCCAATCACAGAGCTCTTGAGAGGAATTACACAACTCAGATCCACCAGGAGTGTTCAATATTGTGGGCTCAATTCAGTGTCACTCAGTCCCAGCTGAGATCAGACAGGCCCCTTTCAGGCACTTGGTGAAGACATGTTTGTTTCGGCGGGCATGTTAAGTATGTTTTCTCATTTTATGATTAGCTTTGGAGGTGCACTCCTCTTGCATGCTTCCTGTATCCACGTAGAAACTGGGGTAATAAGCTGAAGTCGGAAACTCCTGGTGCTTCTTCCAGTTGTGGAACTCCTCTGCAGGCAGGATTTTTCTGCCCATTTCAAAACATGGACAGAAAATTGCAGGAGGCAAATAGGGTTTTCCATCCTAATTAACTCTGCCCCACCCAGACGACGCCTTCTGTCCCTACTTTATACATCAAAGGAACCTGCTCCTTGAAGCCCTGAAGGCTCAGATGCACTCATTTAATCTGAATGGAGTCTTTTAAAGTGACACCATTTCCCACATCTTCTGCACCAACCAACCAGCTACCTGTGTCTTACTGAGATGCAGGCAGAAGAGGTTCAAAGAGATCCAGAAGGCTCTGTGCCAAGAAACTGAACTGCAAGCCAGTGGGCCAACCCCTTACTCACAAAACCAGGAGTGCAATCTGCAGAGCACCAAGGGACCACCTTGACACAGGATCATAACTCTAGGTGAAAGAGGCTTATGGATGGCTCAGGTTTTTTAAATTTATCACCTGCCTGCAGGTCCTTTTGTGGAAAGGGTCATAGCTCAGTGGTCAGCACCTGCTATGCTTGCAGAACATCTCAGGTGCAATCACCAGTATCCCCAGGTAGGCTGGGAAGACCCCCTGCCTGACACCCAGGAGGGCTGCTGCCAGTCAGTAAAGTCAATACTGAACGAGACAGACTAACAGTCTGACTCAGTATACATTTTGGTGAAAGGCACTGTATCAACAGAGTCGGAACAGAACCTACTGAAGAAGCTGGCAACCCAAGGATTGTCATTTTCATTTGCAGGGGGATCTAGTCCTCATGGATGGGGGGAAATGGAATAAAAACATGTGGGTTATATCTGTCAAACTGCAATGCATGAACTGCTTAATTTTTAGTTCCATTATGTTGCTTCTACATTAACTGCAATTCAGGGAAGCATTCCGGATGCTCAGGTTTTTTTCGTTTCTTTCTCCCACACACTTAGATCACATGCACCCAGACTCAGATCACCCTCACTGTGTTCAATGGGATCTACTTGAAGGTTAAATATACATATGGCCTGCGACTTACATTTTTCAAGAGAGATGTATCAATGCTGGAAGCCCTTCCCATCTGTCATGAGTCCCCTTGAAGAGTGGTCAGACCCCAAAGAAAAATGGGAGTTAGACCTGGAGGAGAGTCCCAGGGGGACGGGGTAACAGATTCCAACCCCCCAAAAGATGTCTGATCCCAGGGAGAGTTCCAGGAGGTTGGGGGTGGAGACCCCCCCCCAAAGTAGGTTCAGGAAAATTCTGAGAAGTGCTTCCCATCACCTGCCTTCCAGATATGCCTCTCTCAGCTTCTCCAGTCAAGGAACCATCCTGTTACACAGGAGCCCTCCCCCTTTAACGGTGGGAGCTGAGAGTAAATCTGATGCCAAGGCTGGCATCCACTCCACTTCTGACACCCGGGACACAGAGGCTGCAGTGCGCACAAATCTTGCCTAGGCAGCATACTAGAAGGGATTCCAGGCGCTTGTTGAGCCAAATGCTGTGCCCATCCCACCCTG